ATATCAAAGGTTGAAAGCTCAGTGGGGTTGATTGAAAAAAAAAATGCAAGTAATTTTTTCAAAAATAAACATTACTCTTGTCTGTAAATGTTGTAAATAAAATTTATGATTACATGGTTTAACTTCATCAAATTCATAAAAATAAAGCAGGCATTATTACGAATCATTCACCTTTTGAATATATTTTCCTGTGATATGGGGGGGGGGGGGGGGGTAATAAAACATGCATATTAACACTCTCATAAAAATAATTTAAGAAAAACGTCTGAAACAGATTGATATCTTTATGATTAATTATTATCAAATAAATATTGTGTATTGGCTTTATTAGACCTAATATAATTTGATTTAAAGTTATTCATAATTTTATGCACAATGAATGAAAACATACCCCACGCTCCCCCAAAAGACGAAGTGCTGAAATTCCCAGAAAAAAATAAAGGAATCGTTATTTCCTTGTTATATGCACATCTATGCACATTGTTTTCTAAATATCTGCTAAGTTTGACGAAATTGTGCGCAGCGGTTTATGAGGAATTGCGCTGACAAACTGCTCATCTTTATAATCAAGACATGGCCAAAATCTAAATGTAAAAGTGCGGAAATTCCCGAAAAAAAATGAATTCGGAATTTCCTGGTGATGTGCAAATCTACACACACATTGACTCCTATAAATATCTCGAAAGTTCGACAAAACTCTGTGCAGTGGTTTATAAGAAGTTGCGCTGACAAACAACAACAAAAAAAAAAAAGGACTGACTGATGGATCCAAAACATTATACCTCACGCAACATGTTGCGAGGGTTATATTAAACGAGTTTGATTCTGTGGTACAATGATAATGAAAATAGAATTTAATGTGAATTAAATTTCTAGACATAAATAATTAACGATTACTAGAAAAAGCATATAGGAAGAGAGAGCAAACCCCCCGTGAGAATTCCACATTTTACCTACAATTAGCTTTTTAAAAATTCTCTTGTCTGTTGTCCAGGTCCAGGTTCGACACATACGTTTGAGCATAGGTGACGTGTCGGAACCAGGGGGGTGACTTTTTTATAAATATATACTTAGTATGGACATTGAGCATTGCTGCGTAGGTTAGCCCCCCCCCCCCCACTTTCCACAGACAAGTGTATAGATTTAAAAAGAGGAAATGGAGAAAAATTGTCACGTTTATTACGAAATAGGATATGGAAAAGGACATTTCCCCTTTTTTTTAAGCCAGATTTTTTGAATGTATAAAAATAATTTCTTTGCACTTAGCCCCCCCCCCCCCACTTTCAATTTGCTTCCGAGGCCAATGCGTGAGAAGGTATGTCCAATGTACCCATTCCTGTGATGTATATTTCACGTTTATTATATGATATGTTACGCTTTTTGGGGTACCCATCTCTTATCCGCAAATCCTCTTATACCACTAAGTGAAATTTAATAAAACTTTCACAGAATCTTAGGTTTATTACATATTACCATTGTTCACCTCCTATTTTACTTTTTGTTCCGACATTATTTTGGGTTTAGTGACAACAGCAAAATATGGACTTTGCCATTATAACCATATGGGAGGCGGGGGTATCATTTAGTGAGCTCGTTGCTCACAATACCTCTAGTTTCTCTTTCAATTTGGCCGTTTGGATTAACTTCTTGTCCAAATTAAAATTATTATTCAATTTATGAAATTTCGACATCTCGCCTGAAAAAAATCCTTGATCTGTCCTAAGGCTTAATAAATGGTACAGCACAAAGTGCGTAGGATCTTATACCTATTATTGCCCTAAGGGATGGTTACAGAGAGAGAGAGAGAGAGAGAGAGAGAGAGAGAGAGAGAGAGTTCAGTATACAAAAGAGTAAATGAAAATTATCCGTATCTCAACCAGTGTCAAGAATCCCTACCCTAGCTTTTAAAATTATCTCCCAAATTCACCTACAGAAATTATTTATATATATAAAAAAAATAGCTAGACTATCAGGCAGGGATACTGAAATCTCGAAAGACTCTCTATAACAACATAATTATAAAACATTTATACATTCCTCAAAATGCACATACTTTGTGGTCGGAGTGACACATTTAAAAAAAAATTTCATAATTGAATTCGGCAGAGATGTCTGTCTTCCAAGAATATTTAAATAACGGTCATGTCAATTATTTTTGCACGCCCCCCCCCTCCCCAGCCTAAAAAATCAAATGCCTAAATGTCAATCTGAACAGAGGATGGCCTTTCTGCGTGTGTTTGTGTGTGTTAAAGAACGTATAGATGTACACATAAAAAATTGTATTCTGGTTAACTGCTTTTAAGATTTGAAGTAAATAATTACCGTACATCAAATTACTTGGTTTAGATTTGAGATTAGTACTAAAATAATCAGTTATAATTGACAAATGAATTTTCCGACGCGAACCAACTGCAGACTATATACATGACTTTGTATAGAATGTATATTAGAACTACATGTAGATAGACAATTTACAATTATAGCACAATTATACCCCCCCCCCCCCTTTCAGCCGCGCAAATACCAAATAACTTTCTTTTTCCACTTGTGATATTTTCCCTGACCAAAATCTGATCAGCACGGACTATAAGTGTATCGACGTGCTAGTCCGTACGGAGTAATGACAGTGTGTTTACTATTGAGCTTTTGTGGAGTTTATTTCTTTTTTGTGATACATATTTCAATAAATGGAATTCAGGGTGTATATCACTTGACTTGTGCACATCTTCGAACCGATGCAGTAACCTTATTACCAGGTATGGGTACGTTTACAGCGTTCGAGGCGTTTTCTCGATATGCACCAATTCCATAGGGGCTGCAAATCAAAGACGTTGGTTGTTTTGTTCCATTCAAATGATATAATTTCAAAATGTGTTTGCAGATTTTACTGCTTTTTATTTCAAGTTTATTCTGCATAAATTGGCGCACTGTAAAAATACGCACTCGTGCATCTAAATTTCTCACCAAACTCGCATTTTTTTCTTTTGATTCAAATCAATAATTATTCAGGAATATTATTATGCTGTTTGTTGTGGTTTTAAAATGTCTTGATCAACTCATGTGTTCTCATATGCTTTACCATCGGAGATGTGCACAAGTCGATACCCAAACAAAAAAATCATTCAAGTGTAACGAGCGCATTGGGGTATATATCGTTACAATGAGAAAAGGTATCTGAAAGAAATATGGCGGAATAGAATACGGCTATAGTTGGTATGAAACAATTTGTACATAAATGAACATGTTGCGTTTTTAAGAATTCATGTCAGCTTTAAAATGATACAAGGTCTCTGAAAGAAATATGGCGGAATACGGCTAAAGTTGGTATGAAACAAGTCGTACATAGATGAACATGTTGCGTTTTTAAGAATTCATGTCAGCTTTAAATGCATGATAATTATTTAATTTATGCAATTTATTTCATTCCTGTAGGAGTTGTAACTTACCATTTAATTGGTGGAAGTAAATACAAAGTTGGTCTGCTGCCTTACAACACGTCACATCCTGGGATCCATGACACATTCCTGCCTACCATAGAGGGAGGACAACTTGTTTTCACTTTGGATGTAGACGGTGAGTTGGCTCTACTCACTGATATAAGTGTTACATTAATTCTGCTTTTCACGAGTTTTTTCGCTAATATTTCAAATTAACAACATATAACCCTCCTCTGATGTTGATTTCTAGAATTAATGTGTAACACGCTGATTTAAGCAAATTTTTTATTTCAGGTTCATTGGTAATTGAAAGAAAGTACAAAATCGTGAAGACGGACTTGACAGTCGGTAATGGCGTCATCCACACCATAGACTCTGTTATGATGCCGCCACCATTCCCTTAAAGCAACGATAATAACTCCTCAATTTAAAGAAAAATTATGAAAAGAAATTAATTGAAACTCATTTTATCAAGGTTAGAGTCTTTTTCCCCTGTGGGTGCATCTTGTTCAAACTTAAATGTATCAATAAGAAGGAGGATTAAATGGAGGAGAAATAGCAATGTTTTTCTTTACTCTGTAGGTACTGCTTCAAATGGCTTGTACGGAACGGGGCAATGGGGGTGGAGGGGTCAGAGACCAGTAGAGCTTACGAGATGGTACGGTGTCCGTCGTGATTCCTTCTAGATGTCTGTAATCATTTTTTCAAAATGCTATTCCTACAGCTTTGGCCCGATTTCAAAATAATTTGACACACAAGTAGACTACACTAAGGCATATAAGTTAGTGCATCAGTTATTGATTTTGTTGTTCAAAGTGTTGCCATGGTTACTAAAATCAAAACAATAAATGAAAATTCGTTAAAACGCTACTCCTCCTAGTTTCACCTGATTTCTATATAACTTGGTAAACAAGTAGTCTGCACTGATACATAAGTTCGTGCATCGAGTTTTGATGAACGAGGTTGTTGCCATGGTTACTAAAAATAGACATATCAGAGAACTTAAATTAAAGCACTATTTCTCCTACAGTTTATATCCGATTTTAATATAACTTATCACATAAGTAGACTACACTAAACAGACATGATTTTACGCATCAAACTGTTTTCAGTAGTATTACTTGATTTTGAAGAAATTTCAAAACAAAGCAGTAGGACTTTAAAAACTACGATGTTTCATGAAACTCTGATGGATGGTTTCAGTGCAGTTGCACTGACAAGAACAGAACCGAAGGAGAATTTCCCGATTTTGACGCACGTAGATCTGTACAGTATATGTTTTCACTATCTTCAAAGTTTCATACAATTCTGTTCTAATGAGGAGTTGCGCTGTCAGTAACAGGGCTAACTGAGGACAACCACAAGTTTAAAGTAAACTTATATTCAGAATTTCCTGCAAATATGCACTTCTTCTTAATGATAATACTTTAAAATTTCTGTTGAGCTTGTGACACGACTGACAGTCGGGGTCAAACTGTTTGATAATTTAAATTTGTGCTTACTGGAATATATATCCCCAACATGCTGAATCAAATGTCACAATTAACAAAAATATATTTAAACAAATTAAAAAGTAGCAAATTTCATGAACATAATTTTTAATAAGTAGACATCCCTTATATGTCATGAACGATGAACATTTGTACTCGTCACATATACATGTGGATGGAATTTTCATTACTTTGACAAATCATGAATGTAAATGCGAAATTGAAGCGAGCTTGAATATAATACAATGTCAATATTTATCCAGTATATTATATTATGAACTTTTGCACTGAGGTAACTATTGAGAGTCTTTGATAGCTAAACATCTATAGCTTGTTCTGGAAGAGTTCTTTTTTGTGTACGTTTAGAGTTAACAGTGTAACTTCTGCTCCTAATTGCGAGTTTTCTATGGCGTACAACATAAGCAAATACACCAAACACAAGTAGGGCCCCTATGACGCCTACTGTTACATAAAATGCTTGCATCCCAGAGGAGGTAACACTATCAAAGTCCTTTCCTTCGAATACGACTGGTTTCAGAGATTTGGTAACACTATTAGTAAAATAAGAAAAGCTGCTAGTTTTCTCTTGCTTAGGTGTGCTTGTTTTTTGAACAATGGTAGCCAAGTTAATATTTGTTGTTTCTGCTAACAACTCAAAACTCGAACTTGAAGGCTTTATACTTTTTGTTGGGCCCGATGAAGACATATAGTACATAGAAGTAGTACGGATCATATTATTTGTTTGTGTTCCTAGTTGAGTGTCTAAAGTAGAAGAAATCCCCAAGTCACTTGAAATGAGTGCTTGTGTATCTGTAGTTGAAGCTATAGGGACAACTGGAGTATCTGGTGGTGTTTGGGAAGTGGTTAGAAACACATCATCTTTTGTGGTGGACAGACGTTTATCATAAGTTGAAGTGAGTTCTGTATCTAAAGTGGTTGAAACTGCAGAATCAGTTGGAGGAGGTTGTGTTTCAGAAGTGATTGGAAATACATTATTTTTTGTGCTGGGTGGTCTTTTATCATACGCTGAAGTGAGTTCTCTTGTATCATTGGTTGCAACTGCAGGGTCAGTTGGAGAAGGTTGTGTTTGGAAAGTGGTTAAAAACACATCATCTTTTGTGGTGGTTTGTCTCCTATAAGTTGTAGAAAGCAAACTTTTTGTTGAAATGTATTGTTGTGTATGAAAAGATGAAATAGGAACTGTGTTATTGTCTTGGCTGCAGTCTTCTTTTGATGATGCTTCATTTACTGCCATGCCTTTTAAATAATCAGGTGAGTTACAAATCCCAGTCATCTTTAACATGCTGCCAGAAGTCTGATATCTTATACTAAACAATTTGCAATCGCAATGAAGAGGGTTTCCATCCAAAACTAGTAACTCTAAAAATCTTGAGTTTTTCAAAAAATCCTCAGGAAAAGTGGATATAAAGTTGTTAGAGACGTCCAGAAAATGTAGCGATCTGGCATTCTCAAGTAGTTTTTCTGGCAACAATACGAGTTTGTTGTTTGATATATCAAGATTTTGAAAGTCTTGGTTATACTGTAGAAGATCCTCTGGTATAAAATACAAACGGTTGTTTTGCAGGTTAAGTGACTGTAATTTGCTCAAGTCGCTGAGTGACCTTGAAGATATTTTTAGAATGCCATTGAAGCTAAGATCTAACGCTTGTAAGGAAAACATACCCCTAAATGTCTTGTCTGTTACATAGCTAATATTGTTGTATTTGGCATTCAGGTAAAGAAGAGTTCCTTTAAATGGTTGCAAAACTGATGCTGGTAAATCTTTTAACTGATTATGAGATAAATCCAAGGTAGACAAAGAATTCAGTCCAATGAACGAATGATTGTCTAGTCTCTGTAGTCCAGTATGGCTTAGATTTAAGGACTTCAGGCTCCTCAGATCACTGAACCAGAATGAAGATATTCTCTTCACGTTACTATGGGACATATTTAAATGATGCAATGTGTTAATTCGATCAAAAATCCCAGATGGTATATCCTCGACTCCATTCATAGTAAGTCTCTCTAATCTTTGTTGTCCTTGAAAGATGTCCCTTGGTAAACTTTTTACGCCTTCAATACTTAAACTCAGAAGATGTCGAGGCATTTCTTCTGAAGAAGGATCTGCGAATAGTCGTACAGGTAAGGATTGCAGTTCACAAAAAGTGAGGTCAAGGTTCTCTAACAATGACAGTCCATGAAAAATGACTCCACTTATAAATTTCACTTTTGGAGCAAGTATTGATAAAGTAGATAGATGTTTCTTTCCAAAGCTTAAGAGATTTGGAGGAAAATTTTCAGAGTAAATGATTTTGAACGCTAAAGTGTGAAGCCTCAATCCGGAAAATATATTCTCTGGAATGGTTATTTGTGAAAAAGTTACATCTAGAACTCGCAATGTTTCAAAGCCTTTGAAAGCATTGTCATCAAAATGTTTGGCCTCAAGCCCACGAATTTCATCCAAATACCTGAGAGTAGCCAAGGAAGAGGGATAGAAATGATCAAGTTTGTTTCCGGACATGTCAATCTCGTTTATTAAACTCACTTCTGAGGAGAAGTTCATAGGCAATCCTGTTAGAAGGTTGGATCTCAGCCGCAGCACTTTCAGATTTTTAAATTTCGACAGATGGAGTAATGCATCCTCTGAAAGTCTATTATTAGAAACGTCTAGAATATAGATAAGTTCATCGATGGTTGGTATGTACGATAGATTTAGGTTGGAGCAGTCCCCAGTTAACACATAATCCCTAAGTCGCCATGCTGTATATGTACACGTACAAGGGAAACAGTTTCTCTCTGACTCACCATTTGATAAAAGTACAGTTAACACAAGAAGAACATGTCCTATCTGTAAGGGAAAAAAAAAGATTTTTAAAGAAAAATATTTACATGTCCAATGTCTGAAATAAACTACAAATGAGTTAATTGCTTTATAACCTCATAAAGCGATTTGCTCAGCAAGTAACAGAACTGCTTGCTTTCTCGCTATGGGTTGCTTAGTAATACACATGAAGGGAATGCTAAAATTTCTTATTATTGGACCATCATTAAAAATATTTTTGTTTGATGTACTCCGACCCACATTTTTTCAAGTTCGGCAGGTAGGTAGTTTTTTTTTTTTTGTTTAACAGTATTGATCAAATTGATAACTGTCAAAAAAAATTCAAAGACTCAGAAATTTATTGATGTTAAACAGTTTTCAATACACACTAATTAACTAGACAAAGTTAATATTTATTGCTATGAAAATTTCAACAATATATAAAACGCATCCTAGAGAAATTATATACATGTGGCTTAACTTTAAAATGAAACAGCCTCTATTTCTATTGAAACTAAATTAAAAAAAAACATTGACACAGGTTGACTGGCTATAAGAAGGGGGGGCTTATCGAATCTCAAAACTCCTATTTCAGATGGGATTGAAGGTCCCATATTTTTTCAGTAACAATTCTCCTTTTTTTACTACATAATCATTGTGTTTGGCTATGCTGCAAGAAAAGGGGGGGGGGGGCAACTTGACTTTCGATGAACATTTTCTGTAGTGAAAAGTTGTGTCTGGAACAAAAAGGGGGGGTGATATTACGTGTTTGTATGATATATTAAATTAATTTTCCTTTCAGTTTTTGCAATATGTGGACTCATTTTTCTTTATCTGAAAAGATTTCATATTTTACAAATCACAATAAACATGTAAAGCCAGCTGTAAAAATGCACATTTGTAATAAGGGACGACAATTTTCTGAGGGCATGCACAATTGAAAAAAAACTGTTTTGGGTACAATTACAGTTTTACGTTGATGTGTAATTAATATCAACTAATGTTCACCCCTCCTCTAATTTATTATCGTATATACATGAAGTAAAGTTTAACCCCCTCCCCCCCAAAAAAAAGACCTAAGACACAAACACTCCCTCTCCGGGCCCATTCTTAGAAAATATGTACTCAGTACAATACAATGCCTCAATATAAAACAAATAGTTTACTGCCAAATGTGAGCTCCTGGGGCAAAGTACACAGCATATAAATACTTCATGAAATAATTATGCAGTGTTTATGACATTACAAAAACATAAATATTTTCAATAAAGGGGTGTGGAAATAACGAACAGTATTCAATCTCAAAGTCCAATACAAAAAAAACAATACAAAACAAGTGCAGAGCAAACATGGACCTCCAAAACATCAAAGGAGGGATCAGGTGCCATGGAGGAGTGAGCATCCCTACTGACCAGTCACTTCCGCCGTGTGCTCATATTGTCATGATCGTGAAATAACGGGAAAATCCGTCCTCAATTCAGAGTATAAATAATGGACTTACAATTGGTATAAAAACGTCAGTCAGCATTTGACTCAATGATAAATTGTATTTGCTGACAAGGTCATTGTATCGACCATAGAACCTACGAAATGACGACTTTAAACGAGACTGCTGATATTCTTGCTTCATCGACTTTCTTGTCAATAATTTACCTCGTTTTAGAAATTGTTCATAGGTAGAGCAGCATGCTCTTGCGTATCGAATCAACTGAGATATATACACTCCGTATGCAGTATCATTTAAAAAAATGTTGAAAAAGATTAAACAGAAATTATTAGAAAATGTTAAATGTTCAAAATGATGCATGTGTGAAGCATTTTTTAAGGAATGATATGAATATGGTGTCTTTAAATTGAAGGGATGAATTGTTGGTCATCACATGAAAAAGTTAAACAAAGTACCCTGTACATTTACTTCCATGTGCATGCAAAGTCAAAAGAACGATTTTTTCAGTAAATCGAATTCATGAACCTGAAGTTGTGCTATTGCAAAACTGGTGAATAATTTAAAAAATAAATATAACTTTCACAAAAGTCAATTGTTAAGAATTTTTTAAATGATATTTCAGACAATGATACTATAAAGTAAAGAGAGGGGTATACACCCCGCGTACAACATGTTGCATACACCCCGGACACAACATTGATTTTTCGTCAATATCTTTGTATATGAACTATTTTATTTACAGACAATTTGTACAAACGTTATATGGTAAACCCGTATTTAACAATAACATAAAAGTGATGATAAAGCAAAGCTTTCTTCTGATATTTGATCATAAACGCAGTGTGGCGTCAATCTTGCTCCGATCCTCGGAATTGTGTTGAGGTGTTTGACAAAACTAGAAGGTATCCAGTGGATTCATAGGTATCCATATACTCCTTAGATAATGCTTTCTTCCGTAGGCATATGCTTTCTGGCGAAAAATATCCGTAAATTGAGAAAATGGACAAATAACCTACATTGACCCCCTTTCTCTCGCTTCGGAAGCATACACCCCGCGCACAACATAGTATACACCCCGCATGTTGGGATATACACGGTGTATTCTCTGAAGCCTTATATATATATACTGTATAGGGGGAAAATAACTCGCGGTGTTAATATTCGCTATATTCACGGTGTTAACAAATCCGTGAATTCAAGAAACAGTGAATAGATTTTAAACAATCTCCATGTTTTATTTGGAAATTTGAGAATAGACTACGATAGATTTATATAGGTGTAGGCCTACATGCAGTCCATGGTCATTTCAGTAATTGCGAGTAGTGTCATTCAATTATTTTAATTATCACGCTTTACTTTACTTCAAATCGGCAGATAATAATTTGTGTTTGTTCAAAAGCTGTTTTAATAGCCAACGCTACATGTTTCATCAATCAAAACACGTGGACCATGGGTTTTGATTACCCGTGCGTAATTAATGTTACCACGTGTATTTGTTACCAGCATTCTCATGCATATTCGTTCATGCAGTTTTTTCGACATCTTGGTTTTAAAAAATCATTCAAATAAATATCGAACTTACTGACAAAGGAAGTGTAGAAGGATAATTATTTCGTAGAACTACATTAAAAGTTTTATTTCCGTCCAGTGGTTTTTCGCCGCGTTGTACTGAAGATCTCGGATGCACATGCACTCATCGTAATGGCATATAGGAAAGTCATTTAACGTTTAGGGACTATTGATAACCGCACTTGTGTTAATTAATTATTTATAAAATCTAACAATTTCATAATAACTTACCCTGTTCGTGAAATAAATAAATAGTTAACAAGTAGCTATGGTATGGATTAAATGGAGACAAGGGAAGTAACTTTTATTACATACCAAATTCCGCGAATTCAAGAAACCGCGATCGTGTCAGATAAGAGAAAAACGTGAAAATTACAACCCGTGAAATTAATCCCCTATACAGTACTGATGTCTCATTATATCGCGGTACTTAATCCTTTTGCATAAAAAGTGTTATTCCAATTTTTTACTTTTAACTTTCATCAAAACATATTTATAAACCAATCTATTGACTAACTTTTTAGTGTAAAATTATTTCCCAAGCTTGCATCGTTTAAGTTATTGTCTATTTATAAAACAGGAAGTCTTAGTTACCTCCAAAATTTGAGAGTCTCATTGTATTGCGGTATGGGAAAACATGGGAACTTGTAGATGACATGGACCTCAATTTTTATTTTTGAATTTACTATGTAATTCTACAGGAAAAGTAAATATACAAACTTAAGACCTTTAAAAGATGAGCTATAGTATAATTTTTACTAGGTTATAGATTTAATGGTTAAAAATAATAAAAACGTGAGTGGAAATCTGAAAAATTACGTTGTTTTTTTTTTAAATATTTTTTTTAAACGGATGTTCCATACTCCTTAATCATCAAAAGAGTAAACATTCAGACAACATAAACATATTGTTCATCAATAAAAAGGATAAAGGCTATGTATTCAAATTTTTGCGATATACCGCGATACAACGAAACCCGCGATATAATGAGAATCGAGTATACATGTAGAACATCAAATATCAGAATTTGGCATTTTAGTCAAAAGAGTTGTTTGTCCCCGGAAAAACAATTATTTATAACTTTTTCTCTGTATTAGAATAGTCACCATCTTTTATCATCGCCATATTGGAATACTTCCCGCTCTTTTGTAAACCGAATAAACCACCATTGGAGGTGGTTTGGTTGGTTTAACGAACTAGTTTCTGTTACAGCAAAAACAAATGAAAAACCGGTTCTGGGTTTAAACTAGTTTAAAACTAGTTTGTGGAACAAATGAACGGTTTACAAAACTGGTCCAAAACTAAACCCAGTTTTTGAGAAACAAATTTGCCCTAAGTGTACACAGTCTGAATATTGAGCATTCAGAAAATCAAGATTCTGCAATTATAAGAAATATGAGAAGAATCCATCCTTAAAGTTCGGATGGATTTCCTCTTTTCACTGCCGAACCTAAACGCCCGAGGAGTTTCATAGTAAACAAAATATGCATTGCAGAAGCTGTGCTATGTAAAAATGTGACGTGCTGGATATCCTGTATAGTTTGTGCTTTTTCGTTTGCATTATTCGTGTAAGGATGCCAGACTGGCGGACTATACATTAACTTTATACCAAAATTACTTTAATTCAACGTAAGACAGTATCAATAATAATAATTTTGTAACCGTGGTACTAATTTAAGAATTGTTTACCGAAGCTTGAATCTGATTGGCCAAAATTGTTGTGCTTATTCATCATCGAAAAAAAGGTCGCTCTGTGGTGACCCTGAATGGGGATGTTTGAGGAGCGGTAGCGGATTCGGAACATCTAATTTTTATTAGAGTGTATATGTTTTTTTCTTAAATAAAAAAACTCGTATTAAATGTGTTAAACTATATCAAAACTATTGTTCTAAAGCCATAAAAACGTTTTCTTCTTAAATACAGTAAACTGCAAGAGGAATAGTGCAATTGCAACCTAAGTACAGTATATGCAAGAAACACAAAATTCTACCGTCTTGTTTCCAGAAGGGGGCATCTCAAAATGTCAATATTATTGCCATTTCCCTATTTTATGGATTGAAAAAAAGACAGATACAATGCATCTGTACAAAAAATATAATAATGAATCAGAGAATATCAAATTCCTTAGTATGAAATTTCAAGAGCTTATATCTGATATGTTTTCTTTTATAACATTTTAGGACCCCTTTTATAAGAGTTTTAATGTATCATAACGTCAAAAGTACGTTATAAAAATACGACGTCAATTTAACTATCAGTTTAAAAATCGTTTTAAAAATCAATAATTTAAAATTGTAACTAAATTTTTAACCAACAATTTCATAATTTTGTTAACTTTTATAAATTATGTGGGAAAAAAAGTTGCTTTAAAACAGTAAATACGCTTCATTTTATTATGATGCACAAAGTATTGCACAATGGAAACCAAAGTCGGCCCCCTTAAATACAAAAAAAATTCAAATTTAAAAAATTGAAATGCTGCTTGGGTTTAGTCTTAAGTAATTTATAATTGGGCATCTTAAATCTATATATAAAATAATAATCTACAAAGCCTATTTCTTTCAGAACAAGACATACACAGTCGGATTACTAGTACTTGCAGTACTTGTGGCATTCTGTTTCTTTGCCTACGTTTCCATGAACATGATGAAAATTCCAATCTACACTGAATTTACAGAAATAACAATACCAACATGTGGACTGCCAGAACATCTTTTTAGGAACGAGGAAGCATCACCAATACGGAAAACGAATTTATCACATGTCAGATCTGTTCTACCCTACATAAGAAAAAATAAATGTATCGACAAGATAAAATGGAATCATGTATCAGACTTTTCAAACTTCGATACACGCTCGTTTAATGTCTGTGTCAAAAGTAGTACGCATAGTAAGCAAATCCACGAATTTCATGTTCAACAGATGAGAAAAAAATAACTACAATATCATTTCTCCATATTTTTCTTTCCTCAGAAGAAGATCCAATGTTATTATAATCGAAATAGGAGGTTACTCCGGTCAGACTCTAAGAAAACTTATTCCTGCAACTGGAGCGAAACATTATGTAGTCAAAGAACCTGTTCCTAGTTTCTACAAGACACTAAACAAGAATATTCAGACATTGAAATTCGATACAAATATAAAAACATATAATTTTGGTCTTTCTAAATTTAGCAAGGAGTTGACCATAGTAAAAACTGCTGATGGAACACAAATGTTAAGTAAATCACACTCACATACTACTGAAAAAGTTCAATTAGTGGGTATCTTGGATTTCTTCTTTCAGCTGGGAGTGGGGTGTCAAAGAATAGACCTTCTGACCATCAACTGCGAAGGATGTGAATTTGAAGTTTTGGAGAACTTGTTGTCCACGAATCTGATTGAAAAATTCGATTACATGCAATTTCAGCCTCATTATACTGCCCGCAATATTAGAGATTTTCGGTGCCGCTATTGCAGACTGCGTCAACTTCTTGCCAAAACGCATGTGGAAGTTTACAATTTCCGTTTTGTATGGGAAGCCTGGAAAAGAATGCAATGAGAGAGAGATAATTAAGGTAAGGTTCTCATGATGGACTTCATTTTGTTAATTAATCAGTGACTGATGTGTTGACGACAGTGAAATGTGTAGAAATAACGAACAGTATTTGAGCTCAAAACTTTATTAAACAATACAAAATAGGTGGGGACTGGGGAGCAAACACGGACCTCAAACACATCAGAGGTGGGATCAGGTGCCATGGAGGAGTGAGCATTCCATGCCGACCGGTCACATCCGATGTGTGCTCTTTGTCATCGTCGAGAAATAATGGGGAAAAAATCTGTATATAGCTCAGTGTGTAAATAATGGCCTAACAATCAGTATGAAAAAAACTAGTCAGCATTTGATTTAATGGTAATTGTTTTTGCTGACAAGGTCATCGTATCAACCATTGAACTTACGAAAATAGGACATTAAACGAGATTGTTGATATTCTTCCTTCATCAACTTGTCTGTCAATAACTCATTGCCTCGTTATAGAAATTGTTCGTAGAATATCAAAACAACTGAGAAATATAAACTCATTACAATTTAAACAGTAGGTACAGTATGTCAGTACCCAGTCAAACCCCCTGTTTTGATAACAAATGATAATTTATAAATGATTGATATTTTTGTAAATGATGATATATATATTATGTATCTATATTAGGCATACTATTTGTGTACTGATTATTAAAACTGTCAGTGGAAAAAATATACAAATTAAGCAATACATTTGGAATCTATTTAACAGATATATTGTAAAAGTAAATATGATAAAATTCAATATCTTTTATTTATATCTATAACCGTTACGGTGCATGATTTGTCAAAAAGTTCAACGACAAATCCTAAAAATAATATAAACCTTTGCCTTTTTGCCCTGGCTGATATTCGTATTTCAGGCTGATCATCAGTTTCCACATGCAACTTACACGTTAAAGCAAGTTCAAAAGTGCATCATTTATAAGATTGCATGATTTTGGGTCAAACCACCCTTGTAGAGCAATGAAAAACAATCAGAAAAATGCACTATTATACTTCTTACACTTTTATTCACATTTGTTTTGTCAAAACACAGTTTATGCTTTGCTTACGTGAACAAACTGGGTGTATGGAAGAGATGGGAGAGCAGTGTTATCTCTGCATGTCTTAATTATTGATAACTTATACGATATTTTGAATATTGATCCCTCTTCTGACTTGGCATCATTATTAAAAACGTGAGCCAGAAGTTTTTTTCTCGGGATTTGTTTCAAAAGTCATGGAACTCCTATTACTCAAGAACATAAAAGATCTTCAATTAAATCCCCGCGAAAATACACTATAGACAAAATTGCTCACGCACCACCTAAGAGAATTAATACTTTACCTTTAAGGTACAATGATACTCTGATAAGAGAGATAACTCTTAATGACACAAATGTCTATTATTCCTTTATAGATTTGT